GGTCACATTTTTACCCCTACAAAAATCAGAATTTTTTCCAGAACCCGAAAAAAATGAATAAATTCTGTGATATAATTTAATACAGTTTGCATTAAATATTTCAGTGAATTTTCAATGAATGAATTCAATGAATTTCAATATTTCAGTGAAACACTTGAGAAACTTTCAGTGATTCTTTTAGTCCTTTTCAAAGAAATCTTCTCATTTCAAAAGAGCATTCCGTATTTGTGCTTGGAGCAACAAAAAAGAAATATAATTTATGTTATTGAACGCCCAAAATAAAGGCAACAATAAAGAGGCTTTTACATTATTTAATTTAAGGAATTTAATTTGGTTGGAAGGAATGTAATGTTACTAAAGCCTTTTGGTTAAATAAATTTTTTTTTTTCTCTTACCATTCTTGCTGGGCGCCCGGTGCAGCAGATCGAGCAGAATCTTGTTCAGTCGCTCTCTCTGTGCTTCCCTTCTTCCCAGGATTGATGGATGAAGAGGTAAAGGGGAGAGTGAGGATAAGCATGGGGGGTCCAACGCATCCCGCCCTCCTCCTCCCCTCTCTCGGGAGCCCTCATCCGTCTCTCTCCTCTCTACCCTCTCTTCACCCTCCTCTTCTTCCTCCCCACCTGTCCTCCTTTCCTGTGATGTGGATAGCTGGGATACAGGGGCACTGGAGTCCTCCTGCGTGGTCTCCATCTCTCGAGAAGCCGGCAGACAGCCGATCACATGACGCGCTGGGGGAGAGCTCTTCATCGCACTGCATAGACAGCAACGCAACTGAAATGTTCCCAAGTCCAGAAACGTAGCAAGGACATCATTAAAATAATCCATGTGACATCAGTGGTTCAACTGCAATTATACGAAGCTATGAGAAAACTTTTTGTGTGCAAAAGAAAAAAAAAAAAACGACTTTATTCAACAATTCGTCTCCACCTTATTCCCCAAACGTTGCATATTGTTCGCTTACACCTACGAGTAGGTACTGTGGAGGTAGCCTACTCTATATTTACAAATAAGTACGCTGTAAATTCTGTTTAATTACACGGTACATTTCGGGTTGTAATCTAAAGCGTTACCGTTTTTTTATGAATCTTTGCGAATCGCCTTTAATGTGCTAGTTAGCAGATTCCGCTATTATAATCAGTGATGCTGTCTACTCTGGATGCTGCGTAGCATGACACAACAAATCCCCGACAGTGAAGCCTCCTTCTATTTAACACATACTGAGACAAAGGATTTGCATGCGACAAAGATACTGTTGCAAATCAGTTGTACTTTGAATAATCACCTGAACATGCCACAGTCCTGCTCAATCCTGTTTCTTTATAGCGCTGTTTCCTTGAGTTCCTCATTTGGGATCCAGACCTGTGTGATGGCTTCCAGTCAAAGTTCTCTGGACTCCAGACATTATAGTTTATGAGTTGTGAGTGCCCTTTATTGGGAAGGTTTGGGACATTTTTAATGCTCAGTGCTGCGTTTCCAGAACACCAGTGCAGTACGATGCATTGTTGGAGAAACTTACAGTTTTTTAAGATTGTTTACACACTAAAATAAAAATTTCCACACAATTTGCAAAATTCTACTCCAATGAGCAAAACACCTCCACAGATTTGCACAACATTACACACAATGTCTGCTTCACCCTTTTTGCAAAACATTACACACAGTGATTTGTAAAACTCTACACACATTTTCACACCTTAGACACAGATAAGGATTGTGAGGTTACTTCCTTGTCATTACAAAGCCCCGGATTGCCAATGACCACACTAATGAACGAATTGGATAATCACATCCACCAGGTGTGGAAGCACACATGTGCTAATTTGAAAACGCAGCACTCAGGTGTGCTATAAAAGGCAGCAGGTGAGTTCACCTGTCTTCAACAAAAATGGAAGGAGCTAAAAGAAGAAGAAGAAGAGTGAGAATGAGAGGGGGAGCTCAAAGAGGAGATGAAGGAGGAAGAGGAGAAGGAGGTAGAGGAGGAGGCCCAGGTAGAGGAAGAGGAGAAGAAGGAGATAGAGGAAGAGGCCTAGGTAGAGGAAGAGGTAGAGAAGGACTTGAAGAGTTGATAGAACCTGAACAAAGAAGACGAGGACCAAATTTGACTCAAGAAATCCGTGCAACACTTATTGACCATGTTATCAACCATGGACTGACACTGATGGAAGCTGGACAAAGAGTTCAACCAAATCTCAGCAGAAATACTGTTGCGTCAGTAATTCGGACATTTCATCGAGAAAACAGGTAAGCTAACCACACAGTACATTGAAACTGAAGCTTGCTGTACTTATCATCAATATTGTTTACTGTGACATTTGACAGTAGGCTGCATGTGTATTTGTTTTATTTTTATTTTTTTTTACATAGGATTGAGGGTCGAGGACACCAAGGTGGAAGGGGCCCTATGTTCACTCGTGCACAAGAGGCTGCCATTGTGAACATGGTTTTGACCAATAATTGTATCAGGCTGCGAGAAATCCAAGCCAATATCATCAATGATGACCATATTTTCAATAACATCCAACGAGTCTCTCTGTCAACATTAGGTCGAATCCTCAAGAAAAATCAAATATACATGAAGCAACTGTATCGGGTACCATTTGACAGAAATTCAGAGAGAGTGAAACATCTGCGCAATGAGTATGTGGAGGTATGTATTGTTCATCTTACTATGGTGTGGTATTGTGCACTGCTCATAATGTTCTGGCACAAAAAAATACTGTGCAATAGATATTGAATAACATCCTATTGTCTTTTACTGTGTTTCAGAGAGTCTTGCAAATGGATGCTGCAGAAATTCAACATGAATTTATATATGTGGATGAGGCTGGATTTAACCTTGCGAAAACAAGAAGAAGAGGGAGAAATGTAATTGGACACAGGGCAATCACCAATGTGCCAGGGCAGCGAGGGGGTAACATCACCCTTTGCGCTGCTATTACACAAAATGGGGTCCTCCACCACCATGCAAATCTGGGACCCTATAATGCAAATCTAATACTTGCATTTCTTGACAGATTGCACGAGATTGTCACAGCATTCAACCAAGTGGACCAGATGCGGTACATTGTCGTTTGGGACAATGTCTCATTCCATCGGGCTGCTCTGGTCCACAATTGGTTCCATGAGCACCCTGAATTTGAAGTCTTATACCTTCCCCCATACTCCCCCTTCCTGAATCCAATAGAAGAGTTTTTTTCAGCATGGCGGTGGAAGGTATACGACCTGCGGCCCTATGACCGTTTGCCCCTCATTCAGGCCATGGAGCAGGCCTGTGATCATATCGAAGCAGCTTCTGTGCAGGGGTGGATTCGTCACACGAGGCAATTCTTCCAACGGTGCCTTGCCAATGAAGACATAGCCTGTGATGTGGATGAAATCTTATGGCCTGATCCAGCCAGACGGAGAGATGATGAATAGTTACAGTATTCTTGTTGCTTTTACAGTAGTTTTTCTTCAGAGTCAAAGTGTATGTACTTCATGCAGTAATTTTTATTTGTCTACAGATTTTATTTGTTTCATTGATTTCATTGTTGGTTGATTACTGTAACTGATTATGGTAAGAAATACTGTAAGTATTGAAATAAATACTTGAAATATTCAGTCTGCAGCATCAGTGTTGTGCAGTGCTTGGTAAGTTTATAGTAGGCCAATTTGTGTACATTCTCCCTATATCTCAAACTAATCATGAAGAATGTTGTGGGTTTGTCACTTTTTTTTTTTTTTTTTTCCATCTAAATTATCCCTTACATAACAATGTGTGGCCAAAAATCTAGCACATGCTATTTCCTAAAATTAGTTTTTGTACAAATGTGTTTTTTATTTATCACAGCAGTGTGAAACTGGCTGCAATAGTGTCTGATCATTGAGGACTGTGTTGGTTAAATGAAAACTAATAGCATTTTCACAAATATGTGTATATGTTTTGACTGAAGGGTGTATGTTTTGACTGAAGTGTGTCATTTTGCAAACAATCTAGGAATTATGCAAATTGAGTGTGGTGTTTGGATAATTGTGCTTATATTGTGAAAAAAAGAACCCGGTTTTCAAAATTGCGTGTAAACAATTGAAAAAAACTGTAATCATTTATTTCCAGTTAGCTGTGTTATTTTAAAAATTTTAGAACTTAAACTTTTTTTAATTTTTTTTTAGAAAAATTTAAGGAGAAAAACAAACAAGAAGAAACAGCTGCAATGTTTTTAGATACATTAATTTTTTTTTTTACTGTGTTAGTGCAGCATCTGGACACAAAACAAGAGAATTAATTCACGTCATTTCATTGTGATACTAATATGATAATATTAGAAATTTATATTTATGCATTTGGCAGACACTTTTATCATGCATTCAAGATACATATTTATATTTGATCAGTTCTTGCGTTTCCTGGAAATCAAACCGAAGATTTTGACATTGCGAGTTTCATGCTTTACTGTTTGCAAAAAAAAATAAAAAACTAATATGATTCACATCTTTAAAAAGTGCATATTTAATCCAATATATTCAGACATATATGTTGGAAACATGAAAATGTACTGTGCACGTACTGGATTGAGAGAGAGCAAACACAACTCTGCCTGGCATCCAATTATGGATGGCTTTCTGTGCATTTGTGAATCACAGCACACATCTGTGGATTGTGAAACATTTCTAGCGTCAAGACGTGCACACAAATCCACAGACAGGTGGACCAAAGGAAAACTAAAACTGACACTAAGACGAAAACAATTGATCAAAAAACATTTTCATAAACTGACAAAATAAAAATGTTATAAAAATAAATGAAAACAAAAATAACAATTACTGAGCAACTAACTGAAATGAAATTACATCTTAAATAATAATAATAAAATTACATAAATTACAGTACTGCAAGTTTGACTAAAATAAATGCTGTGGGACGAGGGTTTGAGTCCCAGGAGTGTGTTATATGAGCAAGAGATGACAGTTACAATATTATGATTAAAATAAAAGACGCATCTAATATTAAATTACAGTACAATATTGCTGTATTATTACCAAATTACATTCACAATTCAGTCTAAAACTTTCAAATATGACCGTTCATATTAATGTATATTAATATCAATTTATATTACTAGGATATAACCCTATATAAATACACATGGATACATTTATGTGAACTCCTGCAAATAAGCTCGACTCAGGAGTTGTCTGTGTTCATTTTGATTAAACACATTTAATCTTTTACTTTTACTATTCCCCATCTAATCTATCTAAACATGCTATAAGTTTGTGTCGCTACATTTGTGTCATGGAGCTTACATTAAAATGTCTAGCTTTGGTCTGCGCTCTGGGAGTGTTCTGTTAATTCTGTTTAACTCTATTTTATACATTTATAGCAAATGTTAAAATAATATTACCAAATTTAAAAATGCAGAATTATAATAACCTTGAGGTGGACTCCACCCACTGTCAACTCAAGTCAATCAGATAACAGAAACATTGCCTTGACCAGTCGTAGCATGTTCTCGCTACAGCCCGTCACATTTTGCTTGACAGTCTGGATGGGAACATTTCGATTCAGATTCATTCACAACATTCTACGAGCTCTTCCTTCAAATTGAGCTTAAGTGCTGTTTGTGTGGTTAAAACTTATTTTATTTGGCTTCTTTATAGGGGTGTGCGATATATATATATATTGTCTGTGATAATATCCTAATTGTTGTTTTAACGATTTGCGATTTTAGACAAAACAAAAATAATTTCAAACAAAGCCACAACACTGTTTTGCGACTCTGAGCAACATGACTCTGCTTCGTTCCTGAATGAATCACTCGTTTGAACGAATAATTTCAATCGCAATGACTCACTTATTTTGTTTCAATTTCACATTTAAAGTATCTTTTAATTTTTCAATTAATCTTAAATATCAGTAGTCAATATTTTATGTTTAATATATCAAAACTTAATTTATGCATTTGGAACTACAGGTCCTGCATTAAACAGTGTGTAAATACATCTACATGCCACTTCAGATGCAGCTTCTGTGTTTCATCTGCATTGCAAAGATGAATTTTGTTGATACTGATTTAATTTGGTTGGTAACAGCCAAAATGTCTTATTATTCTAACTGACTGATTAAAAAGATGATGCACACTTTTAGGGAAAAAAAATGGCTTTATAAAGGTACAAATGCCCATAAAGGTAAAAATCAATTTAAACATATTGGAAAGATTAATTTCTATCACTGCTGTGAACTGACCACCACACAGAATATGAAGAGTATCAAAACTTTAGGAGTCAGCTCTCCATGGTAGTCCTTACAATACAAAATATTGGGGTAAATATATGGGTAAATATTGAGATATCATTTTTTTTGTCCATATCGCACACACCTACGTCTTTATATTTCCATTGAGACCAGTGTATCAGGATAAACTCAAGACTGTATACAAATTATGATCATTCACAGATCCTGAGTGATAACAGCCTCTCTACAGCTGACACGAGCGGCGCAACGCATTATAATCAGTGATACTGTCTACACTGGACTGAACAGATCACCCGTTCTTCTTCTGAAGGACCCCATCTAGGACAAAACATCATGTATAATACCAAATACGAGCCCAAGCGACTATCAGTGACGTTACAGTACAAGCCTCATCGCTGCAGCTCTACTGGGGTTTTTTGAGTGGATAATGCAAACGAAAAAAACCTGTATCATCTTAATATACCAAGTATATAATCTCTACAAAGTGGGAATCATTCTGTATTACATTTAATTAATGTTTGAAATATTTGTAATTTGTGGCATTACACCCTACTTATAATGCTTAATATAGAGTGTTAGTTATTTCAGGAAGAGACCGCCCGCCTGTAAAGCAACACCTGATTGGTTATAGTGAGAGCGTGCTATGATTGGCCCACAGTAGAGTCCACCTGTCTGTGGATCTGTGTGTACATCTTGATGCTAGAAATGTTTCAAAATACACCGATGCATGCTGCGATGCACAAATGCACAAGAAGCGATTGGCAAATGAATGCCTGGCAGAGCTGTGTTTGTGAATCTCTTCACATGAATTTGTGGATCACTGGAATAAAGGAACCGTTCAAAGCCCAGAGCTGCTGAAGAGGCTGAACAGAGCAGCTTCTGGCTCTGGATGAAGAGAGCGGAAAAGTGCTGGGGTACTAACATCTCACCCGAGGCTCAACTGCAGGGCTGGAAGAGAGATGATCCCAGGTTAAAGGAGTAAAGCGTGGCTGAGAGCTGCTGCCCAACAGGGGAACGTCTACCAGTCAAACAATGAGAGCATGAAAATAAGCTTCTGTTTTGAATTGAAAAGAGCTCTTTCTGATTTAAAAGGCCAGAATCGATCAAAAGAACATCTCTTTTCTTATGCTTACTTTTTTCAGTTTCCTTCTCCTTCATTCACTGTGGAGAGGTCTCTAAACCAGGCATGATCGAAGATGTTCTCTAAGGTGTCAATCGCTGATGGCCCTCCATGCCAAGGTTTCCGAAGAAGATCTGTGCATTCTGTGAAAGTTTCCAGAAGAGAGCTGATTAGTCATGTTTGTCCTGACACTCATAAACACATTCTGAAGTCTATAGTTCACGTAAGGCAATGTGATCATGAAATACAATGCTTCTGTTGCCGTTACCGTCACATTCTCTGGATGTCCATGAACATTTAATCACTGCTAAACATTCAGTGTAATTTGTCAATGTTTTACACTTTGCTCATTTCAGCACTAATCTTTTACTGTCACTTGTGTCTGAGCTTTACACGTTTTTCAAGCAATGCTATTTCCATTGTGTTCTTGTCACTGGTCTCACCTCTGGACAGGTGTGCTTTTTTCCAACACGGATGTCTTATTGTTTCAATGAGCGCATCCAGCACGAAGTATACGTTTTCAGCTGCTTGCAATTTAGCAGGCACTCTGAGCCTTGCCTCTAAATACACAGTAAATTCCCGAGTGTTAAATGAACACTGCTCGGATCAGATCGGAGCAGATCGGTGCTCGTTCACGCGATTCACAATCACGCTGTGTGAAATGATTTCTGACTGAAAACTACATCGGCGATGACCTACAGCCAATGAGAGAACAAGATACAGGGCAGCGGGAAGTTGCGATCGCCGCCGATTGTTTTTTATGTCAGCAGGTTGAAGCGACCCCAATAACGTGATATTTAGGCCCTGGAATGTGAATTGTACCAGGAGAACCTCGCCAAAAAAATGTGTATTTTACCCCCCC